CTCCTAAGTATTTGAAGGAGTCAATTCTATCAAGTATGGAATCGTTAACCGTGATGGAAACATTGTCAAATTTTGCAACTTTGCGACAACTTCTGTAAATTACAAATTTACACTTCGAGACATTAAGTGTCAGAAGATTGTCGTTAAACCATCTGCATAAGTGTTTTAGATCGGAATTTAATTTCATTTCAAGATCGCAAGCATTGTTTGAAGAAAAATGTATCACAGTGTCGTCAGCATATAAGGAAATTTCACAATGGTTGATACAATAAGGCAAATCATTAACAAAAATAAGAAATAGTAGTGGACCCAAAACACTACATTGAGGAACTCCGACAGGAACGTGTTTGAAGGAGGAAACAATGTTAGCCAGGGCGGTAAGTTGATTTCTATTGCTTAGGTATGACTTGAACCAGTTGACAGAATCATTGGAGAGTCCAGATGAGGCAAGCTTTTCAAATAAAAGAGAATGGTCGACAGTATCAAAGGCTTTAGCCAGGTCAAGAAAAACAGCTCCGGTTACTAAACCTTTGTCCATGTTAACCAAAATGGTGTCCGTGAAATGTGCGAGCGCAATCTCAGTGGAAAGTTTAGGTCTGAAACCAAACTGTCATGGTGTTAGTATTTTATTGTCAATAAGGTAGCGGTAAACTTGAGAGTGAACTGCTTTCTCGAGAACTTTACTGATTGTTGGGAGTATCGTGATTGGTCTGTAATTGCTAGCATTGGATTGGTTTCCAGATTTAAAAAGCGCTGTTACTTTGCCAGACTTCCAGGTTGATGGAAATGTTGAGGAAGTGAGTGAATGATTGAAAAGTTTGGTTAGGATGGGAGTTACAACACTGGAAGAATCTTTAAGTAACCTAGTGCTGATTTTGTCGAGTCCTACAGCTTTGTTGGTTTTAAGATTGTTCAGAACACCATACACATAACTTTCTTCAATTGGCTGGAAAACAAATTCATTTTCCCTAAACTGACTAGGTTGCTTGATAGAAATCCGATTTGGATACAAATTTCTTATCTTAGATGCCAATTCGGATCCTATGCTTGAGAAATGGTCGTTTAATGACTCAGCTATAGACTTTGGGTCGGTATGAGAAACACCATTAGTTTCTTGTTTTTAAAAAAAAAACAAGAAAATATCATTGAGACGAGAAATACGAAAAATTTTGACAAGGAAAAATTTATTGCGGAACTGTTGAAACAGCACTGGGAATATGTATATTTTTTGCAGTAGAAACAAATGCTATGTGGGAAATTTGGAAAAAATATTTTTGGAAGTTTTAGACAAGCATGCACCACTAAAATACAAAAAAATCAGATCGAAGAAAGTCCCTTGGATTGCACGTAAGATAAAAAAGCTTATAAATACAAGGGACAGATTAAAATGAAAAGCCATTTAAACAAACTTAGAAAATGATTGGTTAAATTTTAAAGACCATGTAAAGTCTGTTCTGTGCATACGTTCTGCGCAGGCTTACATTCCAATGGTTGGGACCCGACCGTTGGAATGTTATTAATATTTCGTATCTTTTGAACTTTCTTGAATTGAATCTTTAGTCTGTATTCATTTACAAGCATAGCGAACCAGAAGAGTGTTAAAAAGTCAGTATAATATATATTTAATCATGAGTTCAAAATGTAAACAAAGCGTTTGTTTACATTGCGGACTTTACATGGTCTTTAAAACAGGTAGAAATAAAGTAAATATAGAGTTAAGGAATGCCAAAAAAAGATTACTATTCCTCGAAAATAGCTGGTCAAAGATTCAATCCTAAAAAGGCTTGGAAAAGTATAAACAACTTATTAGGCAGACAAAACAAACCAACTGTAGTAAATGAGCTGAATGTAAATGAAGATAATTTAACAAGTCCTGAAGAAATTGCAGAGGGCTTTAATAACCATTTTTCAAATATTGGTCCAGATTTGGCCAGCAAAATTGATACGTCAAATTACAATTTTGAAACATATATTAAGGATACTAAATCAGAATTTGCAGCATTTCAGCCTGTTACTGTCAGTTATATCTGTTGTCTCTTAAATGGGCTTTCTGGCAATAAAGCAACTGGCATTGATAAGATTTCTTGTAAAATTAAATTATTAAAATAGAAGCTCCTGACATCTCAGATTCACTGACATTTTTTTTAATCAGGCTATTACTCTATCTTCTTTTCCTGATGAATGGAAAATAGCTAGAGTAATACCTCTGTATAAAAATGGCCAACGAAATATTCCAGGAAACTAGACCAATATCAGTTTTGCTGGCCATTAGCAAAATTATGGAACAAATTATGTATGATCAACAAAATATGAACTCCTTAGTAATTCACAATTTGGTTTTTCAGAATTTCACTCGACAGCAACTGCATTGCTGGACTGTACCAATGATTGGTCTATGAACATATACAGAAAAAAGTTTAACCTAGTAGTTTTAATTGATTTGAAAAAGGCAGTTGATACTGTTGATCATCAAATTCTGTTGAGGAAGTTAGAGCTCTATGGAATAAAAGGACAAGCTCTAACTTCGTTCAAATCTTATCTTACAAACCAATATCAGAAATGCCAGATAAAAAACTCCTTTTCATCAGAACAATTGATTAAATGTGGCATACCGCAAGGCTTTATTTTAGGGCCACTATTCTTTTTATTATATATTAATGATTTGCCTGAATGTCAAAACAAAACCTCGGTTGTTTGCTGATGATACAAATCTGACAGCCTCAGGAGATTCAATTACTGACGTTGTGACTATAGTAGACTGATTTAGAAAACCTCAGAAAATGGCTAACCACAAATAAACTTAACCTCATTGTAGCAGCTAAGACTGAGATTATGTTAATAGGTTCACCTATCAATAATATACACCTTAGAAGTGCTTATATGACACAGTTTTGAACCAATACAAACATTATGTTTATTTTCTTACATGTGTCCCACATTACATATTGCAATTCATTGCTTGGCACTGGCGTGACAAGCACTTCTAAGGTCCATTTGTGAAGCTACCCATGGAAACGAGTGATATTTTACTACTTGAGTAAGCATGCACTAAAATTGTCTGGAGGCAATACATTTCCAAACTAGCTTACGAAAATTTCCTACAGGAATTCCTATAGGAAAAATTCCTGTAAGAATTTGGGACAAAATTCCTATAGGAATTTTTCCTATAGGAATTCCTATAGGAAAAATTCCTATAGGAAAAATTCCTATAGGAAAAATTCCTATAGGAATTTTGTCCCAAATTCTTATAGGAATTTTTCCTATAGGAATTCCTATAGGAATTTTTCCCAAATTCCTATAGGAATTTTTCCTATAGGAATTTTTCCTATAGGAATTTTTTCTACAGGAATTCCTACAAGAATTTAATAGGAAGAATTCCTATAAGAATTCTCAAGTCTAGTCCCAAATTATTATAGGAATTTAATATAATAATTTATTCTAATTTCCTATAAGATTTTTGGTATTCCTGCAGAAATTCTAGAATCTAGATGAAATAATAGTAAATGACAGACAATGTTGTTCATCACTCTTAATTTTTTAATGCAAAAAATAGACATAAATATTAATAAATACTAATTAATATTGCAAATATAAAAATTAATATGAGAAATTGGTTATACTAAATATTACAAATCAATTATAGTTTTCACCTATTGTGCCAAATTAATCGTTCTACCTCAATGCAATGCCATATGATGCGTCCTACTTTATTATCTTACTCTGTCTAAATATTTTACTTTGTCTAATGCCAGACTATTTTACTCTGTCTAACTCCAGACAATTGTACTTGAATGTCAAGGGGAAATGCTGGCTCCGAATGGGTTAACTAGCCTATATTCCTATATATGTGTCTAGTTAACCAATTGAATCACATTGCGCCCTGATGCGCCTTACTTTATCATTTTACTATAGTTTACTCTGTCTAACGGCAGATGATTTTACTCGTCAGAGCGCTGGCACTTAATGGGCTAAACCATAGGTAATAACCATTATAATTGACATTTAAAGTTAAGTTTAAAACTGGCCTCAAAACATAGTGAGTCCTAAAATAAGTTCTTGTTCTTGTTTGCTTTTCTGTACTTTGCAACACTTTCCCATGTTGTTTTATATTTGTCCTCATATGTTGACGAACCTCTGAGGCCTTACATCCATACTTTGTTGATAGCTGTAAAAAGACAAATACATTTATTTTATGTATACCATTCCAATGTGTTTTGTTAGCCCATTAAATATGCCCAAATGCACCCAATTTATTATTTTACTCTAAGCGGAGAGTCTAGCACTTTAATAGAATAAACACAGTAAAATAACAAAGTACTAAAAGTAGGGCACATTGCTTCTAAATATGCCACACAGCAGCTTTTGCAGTTAATTATTAACCTTTCAATGACCAACATTAATTTTGATTAGTAAAATCATCTGATAAATATCAAAGTACTGAAAGTGGGGATTGAGTGTTAAGCCTAGTTTCCATTTGGCACGACAAGTGGCTGATGTAATAGAGTGTCAACAAAAAACTCTGCAATCATTAAGACTGATTTGCATATCACACAAACAGACTATTATTATATTAGACTATTTCACATCTACCGCTTGTCGTGCCAGCGACAACTAATGACCAAATGGAAACTAGGCTTTAGGGTGAATTACATCTAAATGTGCTAACGCCAAATAATGCAAAATAGTCTGGTATTAACAGGGCAAAATATTGAGCTTTGAAATAGAGCACATTAGTGTGAATTTGTGAATTGGGTCTTAATGAGTTGACACAAAACACAGGGAGACAGCAAGGTAACCTATCAAAGTTGTCCACTCTCTTTCAAGTAAAATGATCTGGTGTTAGACAAGGTAAAATAAAAAAGTGCTGAAAGTTGAGCACATTCATCTTAACAAGTTAGCATGAAATGTAAGCTAGCAGAGAGCCTGGTTAATATGAATACCATCACATAGTTATGTTTAATTAATAGGGCATTACACTAAAGCATGTCTATAAAGGCTAACAGATTTTAATACATTGACTGGTGCAAGACCTCTCAAAATGAAAATTGTTTAATTTAAACAAAACATATGAATAAATACTGCTGCTGATTTGAGCAAGTAGTTAAATTTTCTATAGGCATGCATTAAATATGGCTGACAATTTACAATTAATCTGGCATATACAGTTGGCACTTGGGATATACAAATATATTAATAAACATGGCTAAGTCTGATTCAAATATAAAACTTTTATAGTAGCATTTGTTGAAGTATAAACGCTATAAATATATTTATATCAGCATTCTAATTCCGTTTATATTGTCGCGGCAAATTCAAATTTTATCAAACCACATGCTCGAATTTCACAAAAGAAGATTGGAGGTATTTCCTTTATAATTTGCTTTATTATAAATAAAATATAAACTTATTCTTACCTGAACATTATGCAAACATCCCTGATGTATTACTATAGTGAAAATCCAGTTGAATCCCATCCAAAATAGTTCTATTTTGCACATAAACCATTGACAAACACTGACTTGAAAAAATATCGGAGGTGTGATGATCTATCCCTTGATGCTTTGCGCGCGTGGCAAGAAAACTAGACACCAGTCTGTCAGCTTTTATGCTAAGAAACATTACAAATTAGATGTTCCTTGAACATTTTAGAATTTTTAACTCATATAGATTAGTACATTTAAGTATATGATATATAGTATATATTAACAATTTTTAAATTGCATTGTAATATAGAATTTTTTACTATTTATAACCTTGTTACACTTAACGTCATGTAATTCAGTCTTCTGACTGCCAGATGATGTTTTTATTAAACAAACTATTCATTCATTCATTCATTCAGTCGCGCACATTGCGGTAATTATTCATTTAATCTTAGAAAATAAATAGTCCCAGTATTAAATTCTCTATTAATAAATGTCTATGAGTAAAATACGATATAGGAATAGTGTAGTTGTATAAGATATTAAAATTCCTATAAGAATCTTATAAATTCTTATAGGATATGATAATGGTGAAAAAATTCCTATAAGAAATAGAAATTCCTGTGGGAAGGAGTTATTTCGTAAATTATATTTATCTGTATAATTTTTTATATAAGTAAAGTTCTTATACCCATGCATGTATCAGGCCATAGTGGTATAGGCTATGAATTTTTCCCACCATTTTCCAATCCTATAAGAATTCCTAAATTTCAAATCCTATAGGAATTTTCATTTCCTATAGGAATTCCTATAGGAATATTTTTTCATATAGGAATTTTTTCACCATTTTCAATTCCTATAGGAATTCCTATAGGAATTTTCAATGCCAATAGGAATTCCTATAGAAAATTTCAATTCCTATAGGAATTCCTATAGGAATTTTCAATGCCTATAGGAATTCCTACAGGAAATTTTAATTCCTATAGGAATTCCTATAGGAATTTTCAATGCCTATAGGAATTCCTATAGGAAATTTCAATTCCTATAGGAATCCTATAGGAATTTTTTTGACCATTTTCAATTCCTATAGGAATTCCTATAGGAATTTTCAATTCATATAGGAATTCCTATAGGAATTTTCAATTCCTATAGGAATTCCTATAGGAATTTTGATTTCCTATAGGAATTCCTATAGGAAATTTTCGTAAGGGAGGTTTCATAATGCATAATTAATTTGGCATTGCAAGAACAGTTGCTGAATTTATGGTAGCATTACCAACTTACTGAAAACATGCAACTAATTTTCCTGCACTGTGTATCACAGTATCAATAGCACAAAGTGTGAAATGAGAACAATGCCTAGTTTGATTTCAATAAGACTGACACTAGCCTCTGAAATAATTTGCAACTGTATAAACAACAAACTCTTTATAATTTTGTTGATTTCTAAATATATAATTGAAAACTTATGTACATTTTATGCACATCAACTCCAGATATAAGTATCAGTTTATACTACATGTATATGTAACCCCTGAAAATGTCTTAATATAATAACTTCATCTTCCCTGAGGATCAAGAAGGTTTTGCTTAGGAAATCAATAAGCTTCAATTGCATTATTAGCTTCAATTTTCTCAGGATTTGGGATCAGTCCCACACATT